ATTGACATAACAAACAATTGCATCACCCAGGTAGTAATGATACCAAGGCCATGCATAAATGAAACTTTTAATAATGCATGTCTACCCAGATCTCTGGGATTCACAAAATAAATTATTTTTCCTGATTATCAATTGTGGTTCCTTATGAATAATAAATCTGATGTTGATCACAGGTGTCAGATTTAATTAAATTTTCCCATCACAAACATGTGGTTATGTGCTTTTACACGCCTCATAACTATGGATTTTTTCCACAGGTGAGGTCCCCCACAAGTTGGAAGGCTTTGGACAAAACATTTCCCTATCTTCCCCTCAGACCAGGCTTGGATGTCACCATATGGGTATGAATATCAGCATTTGTGTGATGATTGCTGCATGTTATTGCCACACTAGCATAAAAGTTGGTGTTAAGACTGGGTTGAAAATTCTGCAACTCAGGAGGTTGCAACCTGGATTGCTGTTTTGGATTTTCCCTGAATTCAGAGTTTTGATTCCTGGGTTGCTGTAATTTTTATGAAAAGAAAAGTATTAATATTTAACAATTAATTATTTAAATGTTTATTTTGTTGAAAAAAATATATACATTGATAGTGTACATTTTCTGTGCTTAACATCCATGTGACCCTAAGCCTGGACAAAAGATCCCTTTCTATGAGTTTGGCTGGTACATCCCAAAGGTGTCCCCTGTCTTGTAAGTGGCATGCCTACTCACCAACAACCTACCCCATTTACTAAAATAACAAATTCAGTTGGTCAGATAAAAATTAAAGAGAAGCAGAAAATTTGGGAAAATGTGTAACTTATAACATACCAAAATCTGAACCATTTTATAACTTTTCCTTGTTGGCCATATTGCTGACAAGGATGTATATAATCATGCGATAATTTTAACCTACAGGACAGAGGACTGATTGGGCAAAAACCCAATCCAGTCCCCTACCCAAAATTATAAATTGGTTAAACAGAGAATTTACAAAAATGATTATAAAAAACACTATTTTACAACTTCCCTCTTAACATCAGAGTTCCAAATGCAATTTCAATGGCCACCAACCCTGCTCTGAATTGCGACTTCCTGTGCTTGAGCAAGTTGCAGATTTTCTTAATATTCATCAGCAGAGTTGCGACTTGATCACAGTGCCATCCTTGCCCTAGAGGTGGGATCATTGCAGTTGACTTTTCGGCCAGCATGCCAGCGGCCTTCTCTGGTCTGGATGCTGTGAGGGAAGATTAGTGAAAGCGTCATTGACAATTGATGCAGTCTCGGTAAACTCCAGGGCCACGTATTACCCCTGGAATGTGGTAGCATCATTGTATCATCGATCCATCAGGTCAGATTAGCCTTTTGTACACGAGGAAGGTGAGAGAATGACTTTAAGTGTTCGAGGTAGCATGCGTGCTTCAACGTCTCTAAAATTTCTGATAATCAAACGTTGCATACTTGAAATATTTCTTTTTCAACAATGTGCTGCCTTGACTTCTTGTAATTATAATAATATAATAATATTATGGATTACGAAAAGCAAAATACACAATCTTGATAAGAATCTGTATTACACCAGCAAGATCTGCTCCGCGTTTTGATTTCCAATTAAAATATTTATTATAACCAATAAAGACAACAAATATATATATCAATACAAGTAAAAAATAGTACCTCTGGTTATTTATTAACACTTCTTCTTTAGGAGACCCAAACCAAACCAAACAACAACGTTCACGTTTTGTCACCTTGGACACCGTCAAAAAATAAATTGTTTTTCCAAGAAAGAAAAAAAAAATCAATTCGCGTCTGTCCTACCAAAAAAAAAAACCAATAGGATAAATAATCAATGTACGCGTCGATCAAATCATAAACTTCTTTTTAAAAATTTATTTTTTAATAATGTCCCAAGGAACCTGAAAAAGAAGAAAATACCAAGAAACTAAAGATACATATGGGTAAATGTTTTTAATTATGGTGGTGGTGGTTAATCCAAAACTCGTTATTATAGTTGAATTAAAACAAACAAACAAACATTTTTCTTTAATGAGTAAAATATACAGTATAACATGGATCTTTCCAATAATTTGCCACCAGTTATTCTTGGAAAATTTTTTTTTTCTAAACATATTGTAAAGAATTAATCATAATAAAAAATAATTATTTTACTATTATGCATGCCATTTTCTAGAAAAACCAGAATGATGATTTTTTTTGTTAATGTTTTTATTGAAATTAAAAGGTCACTATTACAAAATTTGTCATGATGTCATTAAGAGCTGAAGGCATGACTTTCAATTGACAATTCTTTAATAAGCCTCAAAGAATGTATGTACACCTCTCATTAAATAATGCGTGCAAATCTACTAGTGACGAATGGAAAAGTTTCTTCTATTTTAATGGTAAAAATTGACGTCATGTTTTATATTGCTATGGAAAATCGGGTCGTGTGACTAACAATGGAATTTACAGAAAGAAAACACATGGGAAATGTAAATTTTGTATTAGTATGTATTCTGTATGGAAGAATGGATGTCAAATATTGAAAATATACGAGTATGTGCGAGAAAATGCATTCAGTATGTTTTCCATGTTTAACGTGCCACTTCTCCCAATTGTCATTAGATCAACAAGCTGGGGAGGAGAGAAAGTGGTTGCAAAAATACCAAAGTTAAAATGTGATCTTATTGGTGAATTCTACCCAAACCACTTGAAAATGGACTATATCACTTGCACTTAGAATTTAGTGAAAGAGAATTCTATTCATGGTGTAATCTCCATCGAGATCCACAAGAAATTTCGTAGTTTTTGTATATGAACGCTATTGAAAATGTTTATCCGAAAACCATCATGTTAGCTTTGTTTATTGGTTTAGAAAACCTGATCTAAAGCTGCAAGATTTCCGTTTCCCACGAGTATCACAATTTTGTGTAATAATAAAAACATGGTGATACAAATTAATTTCTTTTTAAAATGGTCTTTTGTAGTGTTAAATTTTTTTAATTAGTTGCAGTATGTATCATTTATTATTATTAATATTATTAATTATCATTATCATTAAATATTATGATTATTATTAAATAAAAAAAATAAATATTCTATATATTCTATACATTAAAAACAAACAATAATTTTACACATTATAATTCTAGGAATTCAGGATGTAAACTAAAATCCGGCAATTTACCCAACCTATTTAACCAATCATGCAGTGTTACCTCATCTAAA